TCAAGTGCCAGAGAAATCAGTGTGAGTGTGAAAGAGTCAAGCACCACCAAATGTGACCCATAAAATACCACATTGCTCTTCACAGACAGTTCATGTCTTATTTTAAAGTAAGGCTGAAACTGTGGTGGCATGGAACATGGCCACCACTTATGGATCTGTGCATGCAGAGCAGCACGAGCTGTGCAGGAGGAGGAAGCATCCTAAAACTTGCAAGCAGTCAGCGAGGAAACTGATAGCAAAGCCACTAGTTCTGGTTCCATGTCTGCAAGAAATGGTCTCTTCCGTTGCACTTGTCACATTTAGGATTTTTCCCCCATGTGATCGGTGTCCATATCTGTAACATTTCTGTTTGTCCCTCCTCCACATCTTTTCTCTTGCCTTTTGTTGTGTACTACCCTCTTTATTGGCTCACATGATGTACCGTTTGTCTCTTTTCTCCATTCACCGAAATAGATGCCATCTGTTTTTCCACTCTTTCACACTGAGCCTAAGTCCAATGTGCAGGCAAGTGTTAGATTATGTCCTTCTTCCAGCTATTTTCTGCGCACATAGTCTGATGTACATTTACTCAAGACTACATCTCTTATCTGATTATCTGTGTCTGCCCAGAAGTCAGTCTCTCACTGCCCGTCTGAGATGTGTCAAATTATTGCACAGTCACACCTCATCTTGTGAAACATCTGGCGGGCAAATGCTGTGTTACTGTTGGATACTGCATGCTTGGATGTGAAAGACCAACAGCTGGCACTGACAAGCGTGCACAGATTTGACTTTTGCATCGATGAAATCAGCACTGAAGAGGATTTTTGGAGGCAAGCCTCCCATTACAGTGGGGATTAATCAGGAAACAGCACATCTGACAGAACAAAGGCGACAGAGGAGCGGGCCCTGGCCTAGACAAGTATGGACGTAGATCAAAATGTGCAGTTTGTCAAAGCACATTCCACTGGGCTAAAAACTGTCCACACAGAGGTGAGCAAGTTAAGTCAGCTGAAGATTGCAAAACAGAGGATATAGAGGAGTGCAATATTACCCTGTATACAAGAGTCACCCACCGATGCAGAAATCTTTAGGACAGAGCGTTTTGGCTCAGCAATAATAGTTAAGCGTAGTGCAACTCTTAGTGTTTTATGTGTATTGTATTTAGAGATGTCCTGAATCAATCCAGAGGTGCTGCATTGGCACTAATATTGGCATATTTTAAATGATCTGCGACAGCTAAAATAAAGCAGATCTGACTGGGTTATGGTTTAGTCCCCCTCATCTGGAGGGTGAGGGAGAACTGGGGTTGGACTCAAGATGGCTGACCCAGGTGCTAGTACAAAAAAAGGGAGGTTTAATGGAATAAAAACAACATAACAGGGTCCATAACACATACAACAAGGGAAGGGCAGTGATGACTAAGGAGACCAGGACGAACAGGTACACATACACACTAATGGCAGGAATCAGGAGGATGAGAACGGACAGATGAACAAAAAGAACTAACGTAAACAATGCAATCCACAGCACAGGGACAGTCAGCGTGGAAGACAAAGCACGTATTTCTGTATTGCTAACCGCATGATTAGCGTGATAAGGTCAAGCCAAAACGCACAGAGACTGTCAGCGTAGCATCTTACACGCGTCCCCAAAAAAAGGGATCAAACACAACCTTTGTATAACTTACTTTAAGTATCGTCCGTTACACGTATTATCCGGCCCAGGCGGAGCGTCTGCCCGAGGTATAAATAAGGAGGAAAACTAATCAGCAGGATGCACCTCAGCTGTGTGCACCGACAAACGAGTCGCCAATTACCGAGTGCAACACAGCTGAGGTGCAGAATCCTGTAGATAGATAGATAGATAGATAGATAGATAGATAGATAGATAGATAGATAGATAGAGGAGAGGAGAGGCGAGGCAGCGGCCCTGACAGACTGTTTCTTTACTGAATCGGGCAGTGCCAAAATTTCCAGCATTTTGGCATGCTATTAATGTGAAAATATATCTTCTATTACAGAGGATTCAAGCCTGACATATGTCAGGTCAATCCTAATGAAACTGGACAAAATTGAGCAGCATCTTGAGGTCATTAACTCCGCATTAAGCCATGGCTGTCGTGATTCGGTTCCGCTGCTTTCTGTCATGCTTTTATTTTGACGTTACTTCCTGTTTTGATTCACCACAGTTTCGGTCTTTTTACTTTAATTATCACTCACATTAGTTTCACCAGCTCCTTATTGTTTGCACCTGTTTTTCACCTCTATTTCGGCAGCGTCCTCCAACGAGGACGCTGCCAGATTGTTCCAGACGCCAGCTCTGATTCTCCAGCATTCTTTGGTTTTGGTATTTTGTGTTTTGACCCGGATCGTGTACTTTGACAATTCTGTTCTGCCTTGCCCTCTTGTTTCAGACTGCTTCCCTGTGTATGAGTTATCGGACTTTTCTTTTGGACTACGAACTTTGGGTTCCCTTGGATGTATGTGTTTGCTGGCTCTGACCACGGACTGTATTATCAACCCGTAAGTGCGTTTTTTGTTACACCGTGTCTTGTTTTTCTGTTCAGCATTAGTACTCTTATTAAAGAGACGGTTTTGTTTCACATAATCCTCGTCTGGCCATTTAATCGAGTTCACCCACGACATTTCCGCGGCATCACGCGTCGTTCCTGACAATGGCATTACATCTCAGGACCCTGAGATCTTGGAGGACTTTGGAACACCACTGGATGAACCAGTACAACTGGAAGAAGCTTCAGCGAAGCTGAGGGACCAGAACTACAGAAATAAAATGGTATGTAAAAGGTTTCATAATCAAAGTCAAATCTGTATTGCCAGGTTTTCACATACAAAAGTTTTTAAAAATAATGCAGTGGTGGTGAAGTCCGTCTGTTTCCAAAATATTATTTTAATATTTATCCATTATTTTGACATTAATTTATAATGGGCAAAAACAATGTGAATTTGCATTAGGTTACAGTAAACCTATTTTATATCAGGTTAACTACCTGAGCCCTTTGGGTGGACGAAGTCCTGGGGACTCTGTGTGTAGAATAATGCGAAAATTGGCATCAATGCCCTTTAGGCAGCCTATAGCCCGAAAGGCCGAAAAGGGAAGAAAAGGTTTGAAGACCTGCTGTTATAAAGGGTAAGTGCACAAGTGAAAATGTTAAAGTTATTACATAGCCTCAAATATTAACCTGTGTGTTCACTTTGTTTGTGCATAACTATTCTATCATATTAGAAAAGGAATAGTTAAGATTATATTTTAGAATACATAA